CAAGTGCAATGTGAGCCGGTGAGATTACGGACTTCCGATGAGATTACGGACTTCAGGCAAATTCTGCGAAGAGTCCTTTCGCGCAGCTCCGGAGGGGTACTGTGTTGAACGAATAAATCCGTGTAACTAACTGTGCAAGACTGCCCAAGAGCAGAAACTGTTTGCACACAGGTATGCTGGAGGCAACAGGAAAACACCACGATGTCTAACAAAAGACTGCAGAGGAAACAGCGGGACTATGAACCATGTTTGCAAACCCACTGAGCCGATAAATGTCAGGAAGTTTGATTCCTGGGTTGGGCCCGAACAACAGCAATCGTGTATTGAACTACATGTGTTCTATAGTCCATGCAATCTTGGACAGGTCGCCGAGATTCTAAGATGGTTCTGCTCGCAGGTCTTACCTCGGAGACTCTTCTCGAGCAAGTGCGACAGAAGGCGAAGCCCTGGGAGCTTCGGGATCGTCGCCTGCTGGTCGCGCCTATGAGGCATGCTGCTGCTGCTGCTGCTGCTGTTGCTGTTGCTGTTGCTGTTCCTGTTCCTGTTGCTGTTGCTGTTGCTGTTGCTGTTGTTACTGTTGGTTGTTGTCTGTTGTGGTGGTGTTCAAACCCTGAATCCTAAACCTAAGCCTAAACCTAACTTTGAATCCTCAACACTAAGCCCCACATCCGAGGGAAGTGGTGGGATCACGAGGGCTTTTGGGCTTGTGGGTGTTGAAGGTTTAGGATTTGGGGTTTAAGGCTTGTAAGTAACAAGGGTTTAGAGTGTCGGGTTCAGGGCAGCCTAGGTGAGACTTTTTGGTTGATGCAAACTGTCTAAATGAAACCCCAAGCCCTATATGTAGGGTTCAGATTGCAGTGCTGAGGGATCACGATTGATTGTAGGGCCTGGCGTGGCTGCAACCCATGAATCTGCTTTGGTTTCCAAGGTGGGGTTCCAGCTGGAATGCCGCTGGACCTTCATTGCCTCTTGGTTGCAACTGTATCGAAACGACGGGTTCGAACACTCACCATCCCGCAGTCTCAAATCATTGAAGACCTGAGCCAGACGTATGTGTGTCCTCTCAGCCTTCCTGGCGCTACAGTCGCCCTGAACCAGTTCAGGGCAGTGCCGGGGTCGGTGGTTCCCTCTCCTCTCCTATTTGTTGGGGGAATTCCCTCTTGGCTTTGATCTCTGCAACCCTAGACCGCAAACCCTAAACCCTAAACCCTAAACCCTTCAAGCCTAAGCCTTCAACCCCAAAATCCCGAAACCAGCGGGATTACAGTGGAGCCGAGACATGATCTGACCCCCGGTGTTTGCAAGGACATCCGGGAGTGCGAAGGCAAAGACGCGTGTCTTCAGAATTCAGGAGAGTTTTAGGGTTGAGGTTTTTGGGGTTTTAGGGTTTAGGGTTTAGAGTTTAGGGTGTTGGGTTTAGGGTTTTAGGGTTTAGGGTTTAGGGTTCAGGGTTTTAGGCTTAGGGTTTTAGGGTTTAGGGATTTAGGTTTTGGGGCTTTAGGGTTTAGGGTTTTAGGGTTTAGGGATTAGAGGTTTTCTGTCTGACCTGCAGGATTAGGGCCAGCAGGGTTGCCGGTGTTTGGAGATTTGCGGGTTCTGAGGTGTGGGTCCTGCTGAGCTTCTGGATATTGAAGGCTTCGATGCAGGGTGAGGACGGACTTCCGATTTTGGATGTCTATATGCCGGTCCGGTGAGCCAGAGTTCTCCTGCGCATGTGGTCTAAGTGGTCAGGGTCACAAACCCTGCGACCCTCCAACGGCCCTGCAATGCATTGAACCCTAGCTGTCCAAAGCACCCACTGATTGGGTGTTTGGGCTTAGGATGCTAGTTTTGAGGTTCGTTTTTGGGAGAGTGTTTGATAAGTCGCGACTTGGACCCTTAGAAGAAGTGGGTTGATGTCATGGAACTGATTTAGGGTACCATAATGGGGATGTATAGTAAGTTCCTGATCATAGTAGCTTTTTTGTAGTTCCTAACAGCAGCCCAGCACATGTTTCAGTCGATCAAGTTGCAGGGTGCATTTCCCCACGAGCATGAAGCCAGATGTCTGTCGGGATAAGGTAGCGTTGAGCTTTCAAGATTTTTTTCTTGGTAACTACTTGTCTCCGGGATGGCAAGCTCCGTACATCAGCCATCATGTTTAGGGTTTAGGGTTTAGGATCCTCTGATACCGGCTTTGCACTTGATGCGCTCATGCTGCCGTGTCGTAGCCGCGTTATGGTCAAGTCGTCCACACATTTGAGAGTGTCAGAAAATGCGGAATGCCAGGCATAAGCCCCAAAACACAGGATACTTCAACATCAAGTTTTCGGGACACCCGAAAGAACCCCTAATAACTGAGCCAAAACCTGCATGTCATGAAGGTGCTTCATCCTTACAAAACTCCAAACCGTAAGCAAAGATACTTCAAACCTGCTGCTGTCCCGGAATGACGGCGGATCTCCGCAGTTCTGAGTCAGCTTGATTCAATGGTCTATTCAGTCACCATGCTAGTAACAGTTCTGCTAATCATACCAGTAATATTCATGACATCAAACGTGCAAGTGTCTAACAGTATTGGCATTAGCAACCGTGCCAATGATGGTTTTAGTATAGTAGTTGGCGGTGGACAGTACTCAGAATAAAGGAAGGAAGACTCGCGACATGGTTTACAAGTCATCATGGTAATGAGACCACAGTAACTGCGATAATTGCAGAAACCTCTGCAGCACTGGCCTCACGATCACGGTTTAGGATTTGGACTTGTGGGGTTACTAACGTACGTTGCACTGATTTAGCAGGTCAGGAATGTTTCTCAATCCTAGGGGGCTCTTGTGACAGAAGAGGCTATCAATATCTTTCAAAGAGCAAGGGCATCGCAGAGGGCGACACCCAGTTCTTGATGCACCTCATCAAGGCCTCGGCCTTGGAGGAGGTGGCAGTCAACGTGCAGCCGGCCATTCAGGTGAAGGAGAGAGAGATGAAACAGGCGAAGAAATACCGGACGGCCAAGCAGGCAAAGATGGAAATTCTTTCGAAGCTGGCACAGAAGGAGATTCACAAGGCAGAGCGGCAGGGACATGCCGAGCGGATCCCCGACGTCGTTGTGCAAGTCCAAGAAGGTGATGCGGCCGAAGACCAGGAGAGTGCTAAATGCCCAAGAGCCCAGTTGCCAAAAATGGGGATCGATAGTAAGTAATATGGTTTCTTTATCATGGCAAGGGAAATTAGATTCCCTAGCAAGAACCCAATGTTCCAACCCCAGAACCCCTGAATCCCTCGAACCCCAAAAGCCCCAAGACCCACAAACCCTAGACCCAGAACCTACGACCCGAAAAGCCTTAACCCTTAAAGGAACCCCGATGGATGCCTCCTATAGGAGCCCTTAAAGGACCTCCTATGCGCGGTTTAGGGTTTAGAGGATCCGTATGGTAACCCTTTAAGCCAAAGGGCCCCCTGAGACGCTCCGCCCAAAAAAACCCTCAACTTGTGGAACAAACCCTACAAAGTATAAACCTAGGCTGCTCAGTAGCATATTTGTTTTTTACTTTTGGGTTTCCTTGGTTCCTAGTATACGACAACTAACCTAAACGGAAAAAATTCAGGGGGTACTGAAGAGCCTATAAACCCTGCGAAGGATCTCTGAAGGGGAACCCGCACAAGCAGCCCCGAAGCTTGAACCCTTGAACAACCGAAGACAACCATCAACCCTTCAGCCTAGTTCCCTAAGCCCAAACCCCTAAACCCTAAACCCTAAACCCTAAAACCCTAAAACCCTACACCCTAATTAGGGTCCGGGGTTGTGGCTGAGAGATGCAAGAGGGAGCCCCTCGCGTCCGAAGCCCGAAAAGCCCTGAGCCCGAAACGGCCTAGGCCCTACATCCTAAACCCTAAATCCTCAACCCCAAACCCTAATTAAGCCCTCAGACCTAAACCGCACCTTAAACCCTCAACCCCAATCCCTAAATCCCTAAACTCTGAACCCTCAACCCTAATCCCTAAATCCCTAAACCCTGAACCCTAAACCCTCAACCCTAATCCCGAAACCCTGAACCCTAAACCATCTCTCTGCCAGTTACCACTTCCGCGGCGAAGCGCAGCGAAAGCGAGCCTCCGCCCCTCATCCGCAGCGCGGATGCCGAGGCAGAGGCGCCAACACACCCCCACCCCCAAACAGAAAAAGACAATAGGTTTTCCCCCCAAAGAAGAAAAGGTTTTCAGATTGAGGGCTCAGGGCTTAAGATGCAGGGTTCAAGGTTTTAGGGTGTTAGAGTCTAGAGGTGTTCAAGGAGGCTTTGAGGGAACCCATATAGATCCCTTAAAGAAAAACCGATACTAGAGGGGGTTTTTGGGGGGGGCTTGGGGCGTCTGGGGCTCAGTGTGTCGGGTTTAGAGCCTCGGGTTTAGGGTTTAGGGCGCACCTTGGCGCTTTTTGTCCAGATTTTGATTTAGGCTCTAGGGCTTTTGGGGCTTTTAGTAGGTTTTAGGGCTTTTAGTAGGCTTGAGGGCTTTTGGGCCTTTTAGTAGGTTTTAGGGCTTTTAGTAGGGTTTCGGGCTTGTAGCAGGCTTTAGGGTTTAGGTTTCCGAGCTACATAGAGTGTTGGAGTCTATGCTAGGGTTTAGGGTTCAGGGTTTAGGGTTTTCGACCCAGGCATTCCCAAAGCCTGATTCAGGAATATACCTTAATACCTCAAAGTAGAATCCGCATACGTGCATATGTACCGCGAGCCCTGCCCCCCCAAACCCAAACCTTAAACCCTAAACCGTTTAACCCCCTAAACCCCCTAAGCCCTAAAAACTTACTATCAACCCTGCATCCTAAATCGTTTGAAGTCTAAACGGGAGCACTGTTAACTGAAACCTCTATTCTGCTTCGAGTTAGAAGGACCCAGACCCGGTAGGGGAGGTCGAACTGACGACCCCATGGGTTTAGGGTTTAGGGATGACAGTCCATGTCCGACACGACGTGGATGCATGAGCTCTCAAGGGGGGGAATAGATGGCCATGGCCCTTTGCCAACCATGAAAGTGGGCGAGACAGGATACCTGAAACTGGCTGATGCTAAGCTCGATCCTGAATGGCGGCAAGGAGTCGTCGTCGATCGCTCTACGGATGGAGCGTTGAAGATTGCAGTCCGAATCACTGCGGACGAGCAGCATCACTGTGCTGCTTACTTCGGTTTCGATGCAGGCAAGCGCCATTTCATATTAGTAGCAGGCGGTGCTCGACAACTTGTTTCGGCATGTCCCGAGCACCATCTGGCCTTAGAGATGAAGGCTTCAAAGCTGGTAGAGCAGGCAAGTTCTTTCCTCCAGAGTTGCCCGGCAGACACCAGCGAAGAGCAGGTGTTTGCGACCGCGTCGGAAGACTTAGACAACCCCAAGCCTACAGCGACCCGTGCTTCGGTCAGAACGCAGCAGAGGCCTGCACTCGACTTCGAGGACGGAGAGGACGACGAGTCTTCAAGTGCAGACTCGGGGTCGGGCGAGGAAGACCCTGTGAAAGTGTTGCTTCGGGCTCAAAAGAAGCTTCGCGATTCTACTACAGACAGAGGACGAGGAATCGCTGCTGCAACACTGGACAAGGGCACGAAGGGACGAAGCCGGTACCCGCTGCTGTCGACAGGGAGCAGCCGCAAGAAAGACGAGGACCACCAGGACTTGAAGACTGCGTTGCAGCAGGCTGCAAGTTCCACGGCAGTCGGTTCGGCAGACGACCCCCTCAAGACCCTTCTTACCCTCAAGGTGCTGGAGACTCTCAAGCCGAAGAAGAAGACTCGCAGGAGGAACCCGTCAAGCTCCGCTTCAAGTCTGAGCTCAAGTTCGGGAGGTCGGGACAGCCGCTCTGCAAAGGACAGGGGCGCCGCCAAGGCCCTCCGCCAGTACCACGAGTCGAAGCGTCGCATGTTCAAGCGCCCTCTCAAACATGTTCGACGCTACCTGAAGGAGGTGGAAGAGCAGCTGGGCGGCGGAGACGACATCCCCTACCGCCTGGTAGATTACACTCGCAAGATCTATTGGGGGAAACAGCGAACTCTCCAGAGGGTGCACGTCCTTCTTCACGAGATCCTGCGCCTGATGTTGCAGAATCGCTTCGAGGAGGCTGCCCTGCAGACGGTTCTCAGTCTCCGAGCAGTGCACCAGTGCAGTCTCGACAACGGAAGGTGGGACCTCGCCTGGTTGCTCACTCACGTGGAAGACCCGTTTCAGAGGAGACGCTGGGGTGGAGAAACTCAGGAAGTCGAGGTCGTCGCCGCTTACGTCAAGGCTCTCGAAGACTTGGAAAAGAAGACTCGGCAGACGCGCTTCTTCGACGGCGTGCAGCAAGAGGAGGAGGAGCAGCCCGACGACAAGACGAGCAAGGGGAAGCCAAAGGGAGGAAAGGGCGGGCAGAAAGGCCAGCCCAACCCGTGAGAGCAACCAGTTTACACAAAGACCTTCTTGAGCTCGTCGGTGCTTCAACCGGATCCTTTGGAAGGTTCTGGCGAGAGTATCGATCTGTTAGCTCAAGAATCCGGGCAGGTTCATCCGTCCCACAGGAGGCGGAGTGCACAAAGCTTTTTCCGTCCATCCTGCCATGGCACTGG